ACAGGGCTTGAAAAATTTGACGGTGTCTTACCAGTCAGTCAAAATTTTCACCAAAATATTTCAGTCAAAAAAAACCCCAAGAACCCCAAGAATATATATATATATACAGGTGAAACTCGAATAATTAGAATATTGTGCAAAAGTAATTGCAGTAAGTGCTGCAAAAGGGGCCCAAACCAAGTACTGAGTACATATGCATGCTTGTACTTTTCAGAGGTCCGATATTGTTCTATGTACAATCCTTGTTTTATTGATTGCATGTAATAATCTACTTTTTTGAGGTTGCGGATTTGGGGTTCTTGGGGTTTTCATGAGCTGTGAGCCATAATCATCACAATTATGACAAATCACGGCTTAATTATCTTGCTTTGCATGTAATGAGTCTATCTCATATATTAGTTTCACCTTTTAAGTTGCATTAGTGAAATAAATGAACTTTGCACTATATTCTAATTATTCGAGTTTCACCTGTATATATTATGATCCTAGTAACAAGAGGTCCCTGTATAAGAATACAGAACACCAAATGTATAGAGGACTTACACGTATAAAAAGTGTATTGTTATATCGTTCGGTTGTGGTTCCTCCACTCCAGTGCACACATCTTTTGTGTGGAGACACCTGTTTGAACAGCATAGCTAATGCAACCATTGCAGTAATGGTCTGGAAAGTCCATAAGGCAGGAATAATTTTTAGCATACCCCAATTGACCTCAAGTGTTGCAAAGGAGAATTTAGCCAATACATCCTTCTAATTGCACGGTGTGCACAAATGGTAAGATAAGGACATTTTTACCCATAGGCACTTTTTAATTGTGCGCTCATCATTCACTTAATGAGAATAGCTTATGCCAAAGCTGTAAAACGGAACTGGGTCATTTGAGAGGTATAGAAAGATAGTTTCACACAAAAGACAAATATTACTAATTCTGAAAGTTCTCATTTTCTCTGGCTTGCACTTCAGCATATGCCGTGCCTGACAATTAAGTACTCGGTGATTTTATGATGCATAGCAAATGAAACCTTATAGCCACAGGGGTACAGCCACGTCTCTGTCCTCTCATAAAAAGGGAGCATTTTGAAACCTGCCAATTCTTTGCTTTGGGCTTTCATGCACAATTAGTTTTCTAAGGGCAGTTTGGTAACTTATTTGGGTCATTAAGAAGTGTTACTTTGCTCCCAGGTGTGAAAGAAGCCAGAAGGATTTTCCTCTTTTAGGTTATTTATCTACGGCGGAGTGAGGAAAATCTTTTTAAAAAGTTGTGTTTATTGAAAACCTGCAGATTTTGTAATATTCATTTCAGATCTCCCCTGCATGGCTGTATATTTAATATTAACCTCTTAAATCGTTTTGTGGTTACATGGCGTGCTGGCAGTTTTCTTTTTTTTTTGATGAATTGGTGTAATTTAGTTTGATGTGCATCTGTAACCCCGAGGAACATGTCTTCCTTGCTTCAAAATAAATGTTGTCCAATAGTCATTTCATTTCAAGCTACTTGAGATCATACAGCCGTGTCTGGGGTTTTTACTATGTAAAATGTTTCACTTACGGTTCTTTTCCCCAGGCAAAGCCATGTTTGAAACCAAGAATGAAGTGAATATGCCTAAATTATTATTTTTTTCAGCTCCCAAGCTCCTGTCAAGACTTTGTTTATATGTAATACACTTTGCAAAACAAGAAGCTAGAAAAGAAAAGCGTTATGCAAAATGTGGGACGAGAGCCACAAACAGTACACATGCTCTCTGTAGGTTGGGAAAGATGTGTGCTGCTATATAAAAGAAATATGGAAGTTGCTTTTTGCTGATTGCCTTCTGAAAATGCTAGCTGCCTGGCTGTTATTCTAATCCACTTGCTTTAAAGAAAAACTCTAGAAAAATCAAAAACTTACTCTTGCCGTGGGGCTACCCTGCACTGCAAGGGCCAAGTGCTCTTTTTGTCTAGGGGGCTGAAATAAAGCAGTTTTATTCACCTGATCCTTGGTCCCACAGTGGTCAGTGTTCACCTCTCTCCCCCCTCCACTCAGGCTGTGTAATGTCCCTTGTTGTCCTCACATTTAATGCAAGTCAATGGACATTCATAAGACACGATGGCATCAGCAGTCCTTACACTGCCAGAGCACAGGAGAGAAGAGGCTGCGGGGACTGGTCTAGCAGCCCAAAGGGAGCTGGTGGGACTGAGGATCAGGCTAGTAACTTATCCACATATCTATTTTGGGTTAGTGACTAAGAAAGCATTAAAGCCAGAGGGTCACTGTGGCCACCAGTAAACTAGAATGTTCACAAGCAGAGGTCAGCAATGATATAGTTTAACCTGCCATATAAACTGGTGTATTCTGCATTCCTAATAAGTATAAGTCCTCTGCTAGTTTACATCATTAAATATTTTAAAGTAAAACTATGGCCTCCCATCCAAAAATAAATATGTGCAACACTTAAGTGTAAGTGCATCTGTACTTACAGTTTTCTCTTATTCCACCTACACAGTCCCATACATACCTGTTGATCCTGCCAGTGAATATTACCTAATGCAGCTTCCTGTGATGGGGTGGCAACAATGCTGCACTATTCCTGAATAGTAGACTGTGGGATGAAAAAAGGTTGCAGGGGGCATGGCTATTAGCATTGTTTGTGCTGATTAAGAAGCCTGTAGATTGTCAATCAGCACCTGACCACACCTAGGCCTGCCCACTGCTTTCTGTACTGTTGCTAAAACCTTTCCACTGTGAGCGGCAGTGACTGGTAGGGGAGCATGTGAGACACAAATTAAGAAGGATTTGGTTCAGTCAGGGAAAATAAAGGAAGTTTTTTTTGTTTAATTTCTAAGGCTTATGCCTCACATAGTAACTCAATTTGAAACTTGTTATCACTGTCATAGAGGATCTTTTAGTTGTATTAATAATAATTTAGTTGTATTAAACCTACAAGTTCACTACAAGAGTCTATACTCTTGTCTTCCCCCTGAGCAGAAAAACTCAGGTGGCTTCTTTTCTAGCCTTTTCAAGCATTGTAATATCTTGTTAGCCTGCTCACTTAATATTCAGAGCACATTGTATTAAAGAGATGATGATGTCTCAGATTTTCTAATAAAGGAATTCTATAGGTTTATTAGAGCTGCATGTTCTGGGCAAGAGAAAATGGAAAAGATGTTGTAATAGTTAACAGACTGTATTCTTCTCTCTTTACTGAGGTCTTGGTGTCATTATCATCGGGTTAGCTGTGACAGTAACTTCTATAACTGGCCTGTCCACCTCTGCAATTGCCACAAATGGATGTGTCAGAGGAGGTAATAAAATATGAGCCATGGACGCTCTAAAGGTCAAAGTCAGTTCAGAATCTCATTATTTTAAGGTAATCACACACTTGGCTCGCTGGAGGCTTTTTCTTTTAGCATCGGCTGGTGCACAGACCAAAAAAAAAGAGTCAAGCAGAAGAATTTATTTTGGGAGATTAAACATGGACACCAAAGTTTTATCTCAGTCAGTATTTCAGTCTTTCTCCTAAGCATCCAGTTTCAGGATTTACTCAGGAAGGATGGCTCCACACGTCCACAAGTTTATAATAAGTTACTTGTTCTATAATGTTTCAGGAGTTCATTCCGCTTTTTTCAGCACATCGAGTCCCTGAATTCTAGCCTGCGACCATCCAGATAAAAAATGTATCTCTAGGATGAGATGCCTATATAAAATATTTGATGTTTTCACCACTAACAGGTCTTGGAGTTATCATAATTCTTCTTGCCACCACGGTAACTTCAATTACTGGGCTGTCAACATCTGCAATAGCAACCAATGGTTATGTCCGTGGAGGTAAAAAGTTAAGGCTACTTGTAATATAGGATCTCTGCATGGTTAAGTATGAGATTCTATCTGTTCTGAGTTCAGTTCTGGAAAGTCATTGTGGGTCCTCCCAATATGGAGAACGTTTATCAAGGTAATGTCAAAGTAGAACAAGTGGCGTCTCAGCCTTACATCTCACAAGCATATTCATACAGAGGAAGTCCTTAGAACATAATAGAAAGCTCTCTTGTGACTGAAACTTACTTTTCTTGAGCAGTTCCATTCCTGTTAATGTCCCCTCTAAACTTGACAGTGTTAAACAATATTAACTCTTGCTATAATTGTAAAAGTCTGAAATTACTTCCGAAAACTGGAAACATGATATTATTAGATTTAATCTTTGAAGAAAAAGCCAATCCTCATAAGTAGAACTGTGTTGAAGAACATCTTAGGTGGTATCAGGTGGCTGGAATCAAGGACTGGACAATACATGAAAATGTATTAAAGAAATAATATTACAACAATCTATAATACAAATAAATAGGACATGAACAGCTTTCTCTGAGGCTGTTGGGGCATCTGGCAATTACCATATTTTATCATTAATATACAGATGAGGAAAGTGAAATCGTTTCCTGTAGATTGGGAAGAAAGATCTTGCTGTTTTTCAACAAATGGCATTTTACTACTCAGAAAGAACAAATATGACCTATTTATTTGTAAAACAAACAGTCCTTTTCAATCCCTTTATTTTTTGGGGGATCAGTAATCTATGGATTAAAGTCTCCTAAGTCTGATAATTCACACAAACGCAATAGAGCAGATTTACTGCTAAGACACTGAAAATACATAAAACAGGTGCAATCTTCTCTGTTTTCATTCATTTTAATATCATAGCTGTAAAATGATCACTTTAGCAGTACTTAGTAAACTGCAACTTAATTTCAAAAATTTTAACAAGTCTACCCTACTGAGTCTGTGTAGAAGTGAGATACTAACAAGGTAAGTGTGTGTGAATCCAACTCGTTTGAGGAAAGTCAAGGATTATGTGTTGCTCCAACCTTGGATAAAGAAGAAGTCCTTGCTGACTATGTATAGCACAGGTAAACTTTAAGTGTCTTTGCTATTTTCAGGTCTTGGAGTGGTCCTCATATGCCTCAGTGTGGTGGTGACATCATTAACTTGTCTTTCTATGTCTGCTATATGCACCAACGGTATTGTCAGAGGAGGTAAGTACTCCTATAGTAGGAAATGTTAACACAGTTGAACAAGTCAATATTACTTTTTTTGTTACGTACCTGTTTCTATTTTGGAAATGTCAATTTCCTGTACCCGTTATTTTTACCGGAATAAAAAATAATGGTCTATATTAAGCTCAAAGGACGTACAAAATTTCTGCTGCCCCAATGACAACTGAGATATTACTGACAAGGTAATTCATTATAACTCATTTTAATTGCTTGACTCAGTAGATTTGTATCAACTTTATATGGAATTCTACAGGATCATTGTTTCAGAACTATAGACTAGTGATATAAGATGAGATATTATACATGCCGGCTACCACTGAACATTAATGAATAATTACTACAGTTGCCTGTAACATAAAGGATATCAGTAATTTTAACAGGACTGCATTTCTTCAATAGGCATAGCCTGTGCAGCAGAATTATAAATATAAAGGTTACCTAATTATAGAAGCTCATTTGTTTCCCACTTCCCTTCCAGTAAGGGGCTGCTGCAGTGGTTATAGTCTTCTACCTCTGTATGCAGTTAGTAACGGTGAGCACTGGGTAGGTGCATACTTTAGGAAAAGGCTGGGGGAAGGATTCTGTATCAAGCTGGCCAATACTCACTATAAACTAACCTGATACAGTCCCCATCAGCCTTATTTTTATCTCAGAGTATCATGAATTACATGTTGTCCATTATTACTGATTGCATACCAAGGTTAAAGGATACAAACACTGTGCATGGTCCTTACCTGCCAGGCAGTGGGAAATAGATCATCTTATGTATTTCCAGTTTTGCTGCCAGAACATGGCCTCTGCAGGGTTACATTTGCACAGATGGTAAAGTTCTATTTTAAACATCATATACATAAATAGGAATATAAATTCCTTCTAGGGCCTGGTGTAGGTTTGGTCTTGGGCACTTTGCCCACCTTCCCCACCCTTCTTGGCAATAAGGTTAAAATATCACCCCTTTCCAGTACTCCTAAACACAATAACAGCACTGCACCCACGTGCGTTTAGGGGAGTAGAAAGGGAGACAATGTAGAAGTAGGAGGTTTGTCATTTGATGATCACTGGCCACTACAGTTCTTGTGGCCTCACCTACTTCCACATTGCTTGTCTTAAAGATGTTTAAGATGCAACATTTGCTGCCAATGGTAGAATTTCCTTTGACTGACAGTAATTTAGTCTGCATGCTAGAAGGCAAGCTAGTTGTTAAAGGTAACTGCAGTATGATATTTCCAACCTGGTACAGCTTGTTTCAGAAGGTAAGTAAAATGAGAAGGTAAGTAAGAATGAGTCAGTTGAACAAGGCAATATCACAGATCCAGGAGAGTGTCCTGTATACCCAGGCAAGATGGATTTTCAAATACTTTTCAATTATTATAATTATGTAGACATTTATAATATAACGTACTATATCAATAAGCTCTACATTACAAACCATCTCAGTTAAGGTAAGCCTGCTTACAAAACTTTTTCAGATATATTAATTTCCTATTCTCTGATCTCAATGTAACTGCATGTCTTAGAATTTTTTGGCATTATTAATGCCTAATAATTACTGACTAATTTGCCAAATTCAAATGGCTTAAATGTGAAAATTACTGGCTAAATCTAAATGGTTTCAGACATAAAAACTAATAATGGAGATGTGTAGCATAAGGAATAGGTTTCTCCAGTTCTCAAGTTCCATAAACAGACCTGATACAGCTGTCACTTCTAAACATCTTCCATGAGTTAATACTTAATAGAATCAATAAAAGAAATATATAACTAACTGGCTACAAGAAACACCTTTAATGCCTAACTGGTTTTGTGCTGCTCCTGTTTCAGTACATATAAGTAATTTCATGGCACGCTCCTTGTATAGACCAGAAGGGCTGAGAAGGAGAAAACGGGCAAATGCCTCCTTGGATGTCCTTGGTCTTATATGTGAACACCAGTTATAACAGAAAAGGTGTATTTTAAGCCCCCCATATACAAGCCAGTTGTCTAGCAGATTAGTTAATTTCCCAGTACTCCTCCCACATTTTGAGCACACACCCATTTAGGGATAGAAAATTATTTGTAGAAAGGCCTCATATGTCTGTGTATATAGTTTGATCAGAACGTTATTTATTCCCCACACTAACTAGAAGTGTGTTTTTGGATGATGAATATCTGAATCATACAGATCTGGCCATGCACATGAATAATTCACTTAAATCTATGCAAACTCATTAAAAACAGCATAGAAATCTAGTAGAACCTGTTGGTAGTTCATCATGAGCGGAAAACTCTCTATCACTATCTTCTGCTGTATGCCTACGTGGCACGGATATCAGATTATTGGCTCTCTCCTTGTCCGTGGCCCATTAAATAATTCACACTGTGTCTCATTCATCTGTGGTCTGTTTTTGGAACTTTGGTTATGGTCAACCTATTCAACCTAATTCTGCCTCTAACCGCTGTAGTGTTTCCACCTTTTAGTTTATGTTTCATTCTTTAGGTGGGGCATATTATCTCATATCAAGAAGTCTAGGGCCGGAGTTTGGTGGATCTATAGGACTTATCTTTGCCTTTGCCAACGCTGTGGCTGTTGCTATGTATGTGGTCGGATTTTCAGAAACTGTTGTGGAGCTCCTTAAAGTGAGTATGGTTGTCTTTAAAAATGTAATTTAATATCTGTGAAGGTGTTTAACTTGGCTCACTGAAGTAGTTGATGTTTCTAGAGGGTAATAAACAACTAAAGTGTATGCATTTATTACAGTTTTCTAGACCACTTTCCTCTTAGCCTCTCCAGTAGGTGTTCCCTGGTATCTGATAGGATATGTTTGGAACTTGGTTGACTTACTTCTCTGCAGTTCAGAGGCATCCACATACTAGTGTGGACCTTATCAACTTTGACAATATTAAAGGTTCTAAAGCAAAACACTAGTTTTACGGATAATAAAATCCCTTCTGGTGAGAAACAGGTTATTGCAAGTGGGAGGGTCTGCATTTATTATAATAACATAATCACTACCAGAAACTCAGATATCCAGACATCCATCTAACAAGAGTTTATTCATCTATAAAGAAAACACTCTTTATAGAGGTAAGAGTGATTTAAGAATTTATGTGAGAAAATATAACAGTTTATTTCTGACTAATTTAGATTTGTGACAGATTAGGATTGATATTATACTAGATTTATTCAGTTTTAATGTGGAAGTAAAGTGGGGGGATTTAAAAAAAAAGCCCCCCAGAGGTGTTTGCCATAATGTGCTAGCATGCACAGCATATTAGCACATTATGGCCCACTTACCCTTCAAACGATCCCCTCCAGTGCTGCACTGTTCACTTTCCCTTCCGGCGCTGGCGCTGCTATCTTCTGCCAGTCTCCTTCAGGGTTTGGTATCTTCAGCCTCTTGATTGGCTGGCTAGTATGATGTATTTCCCATGCGATTGTGCATTACTTTATCTTGGCATGCCGGGTCTGTTCACTGAGCTGCGCATGTGCAGTTCAGTGCACAGAAAAAAGAGAAATTGCTGACAGTCTCTTCTGCCACAACAAAACCTCTCTGCCAGCAATTCTTTTCATCCAGGACATTGTATTTCTGCTTTAAAAACACACTTTACGCTTTTACAACTACAATTACATTGGTAATAAAATGAAATACATATTTATTTATTATTCATCATGATATTAGTAGTTCTTTTGCAGACCTATTAGTCAGCATGCACAGTCTTCACATTGAGTGAATAGCACACATTCATTTTTGAAATTTCTTTTCAGGACAATAATGCAATTATGGTGGATGAAACAAATGACATCAGGATTGTAGGTACAATAACAGTTATGCTATTGCTTGGCATCTCTGTCGCTGGCATGGAGTGGGAGGCAAAGGTAAGTTATTGTACTGTAAGACTGTGTACTCATGCTCTATCGATTTTTACTATGCTATATTTCTGAGAATAACCTGCATATCACCAAATGGCTTAAAATCAGTTTCCATGGGCTGATTTACTAAAGGCAAATAAGCCATTCACTCTGCAAGGAATGTTTTCTATCACTTAAAGAACTCCAGGATTTTACAGGGGTAGCACCACTGCAGGGTTCCATTTTTAAAAATCCTGTAGTTCATCTTTAAAAGAGAACTATGGGGTAAGTATGTTTCCCCATAGTTCTCTTAAGGGTCACGGGAAGACATATACTAGCGTCCTCCCGTGACCCAAAGCTCAGTATATCGTGAGCTACACGGGTCCCAACAATACTGTCGAGATCCACTCAGCTGTGTGATTGACAGCTGGCTCTGCCTATCTAGAGGCAGAGCCAGTCAGCACTGGAGGATCGGAGAGGGGAATTCCTGCAGGGAGTCGGGACTGACAGTCACAGCTCTCTGCAGGGAGATGATCGAGTAGTGAGCGAGCGACGGTATGCGTTCGCTTACTCCCTGATCTAGTGAGCCGACATGTGACAGTTTCATTGTCACACGTCGGCTTGAACTATGAGGATGAGTGATTTTCACTCACCTCATAGCTCTCCTTTAATGAATGAGGTGAAGCTCTTCTGATTTCCATCATCCAATCATGTAAAACAAAAATACTATTGTTGTTTTTTCATTTTCCTTGCGCATGATTGTTTATTTTTTGCAAAGAGAATTCACACCATATTCACTAAGTTAAGGGAAAATTCCATAGTGAACAGCCTATTTGCCTTTAGTAAATCAACCCCCATGTGTACTTGACTCCATATTTGTATTTATTAATTAAGATTTTATTTTATGGGTTACAACTATAATGCATAACTTTTTAATTCTGCCTTCAAAAAAATATAATTATGTATAAGAAGGACTTATAACATGTATAAATACTGGCACAACTATAGCTTTATGTATAAAGTGATTTCAATTCAATGTAATAGGTACCTAGTGGCAATTCAGAATTTGATGATCCATAGAAAATAGATCGTAAAACACTAATACAGTAACACAGCAAAGACATGAAAATCAACTAGAAGGTCTATTTGTAATACTCTGAAGAATTGAGCCTCTTTAGACCACATTTGCTAGTCACTGGCAAATGTAACATGGAGCAAATGGGAATAAAGGAATCAAGTGAATCTTTGGTAAATTCTCAGTAAACTTTTAGCAAATCCACAGGGAGTATGGATGTAGATGAAAGAACACTGCAGATCTCTATAGAAAACAACAGAAGTTGTTTGATTTACATAAATTCGGAGTGGCCAATATTACCTAGCAAGTCTTGGGAGATTTCCTGCTTTAAAATATACAAAATATAACTGAAACAAGCATTTAATATGAAAAGAAGAAATTAAGACATTGCAAATCTTTCAGGGCTGAATGAATGTGCCCAACAATAATGTTGGTGAATATTTTCTATAAGTCACATAAATTATGTACCAATGCCTTCTAAATAGACATCCAGGACAACCTGCCATCAGTTATATAGTCTTATCTTGTCTACAAATGATAATAACTTGAGTGGAGTAGCAGACCACTTAGAGGCATTTTTTTCATAAAGCACATGTACGCTAGTTTCTAGGGCAGTTGCCTATAAGGAAGCTGCAAAAAAGCAGAAAGCTTTACAATTTCTGTCCACCTTTGAAAACTTGTTGGTAAATACACCAGGGGATTGGAAGCGGAAGCAATTTCTGAGATTGCCAAGACTCTCTGAAGTTCTACTGGAATGTAGCTATCCTCTCTTTAGATGTACATTCTGGTTTTATTGTTTATCCTAATAATCAAATGTTATAGTTGGGAACCAACATATATCGTACAAAGGGCTGTCATTATTCTGGGGTGCCTAGGGCACCATAAACTATGGGTATAGATCTCACACCACTGCAGGTGAAAATGTTGCATCAAAATATCCATAAAGATTTAATTTGTTTGGGCTTTTCATATCTTTATTAATCTTACAAGCCAAAGTTTTCCTGTTCTAGAATACGCAAGGTTAGGGATATTACAAATGATGCTAAAGAAGTGTCTTGGCCAGGAGGGTGAGAAGGAGAGGAAAGAGGGGGGTATGCTAGCAGGAAGGTAGACATGCATGAGGAACATTGTAACAATGGAAAGGAGAGTGTGTGTGCAATGGGAGTTTAAAAGAGAAGCACTGGGAGAGTAAAATATACTCTTCTTAATACTTAGAGCCAGCATGGGACACGCTGTCAGTCACCGCTCCCCGCAGGGATTCCCCACCTCTCTGTTCCTCCAGCGCTCATTGGGGAGACAAACAGTGGAGGGGCGGGCACAGCTGGCTCTAGAGAGGCAGAGCTAGCTGTCAATCAGGCAGCCAGGTGGATACTGAGAATATTGTCGAGAGCCTACCTGGCCGCTGTGAGCATATTCTGGGCAGTAGTCCTCTATATGCTAACATTGAGTCACAATGTAAAAACATAAATAAATTATAAAAAAAAGTAAAGCTAAAAAAAAAAGGTTTGGCTTTACTTCTCTTTTAAAGTTGACTGTGTGCAGGGATCTTCCAATATTCCTGACAGATGCCAGAAGGTTTTTCTTCTGCAGGGGAGAGCTAGGAAGTGGGAGAGCAGACAGGGACATGGAGTATACTGATTGAGGGTATAAAGCTGAATGTGTGCTTTTCTCTTTTTATTCTTTATGCAGGGCAGAATAAAGAAAGCATAGCTATGAGTACTGGAAGGGCAATCTCACTCCTAGCATGGATAATGGGAAGTAAGGTGTGTGTGTGCTGGGGGCCAGATATAGAAGAAAGAATAATAGGTGTTCCGTGAGTGGAATTGCAGAGTACTGAGGACAGAACAGTTATAGGGTAGGGTAGGATAGAATATATGATTTATATTCTACTGCTGCATTGGTTCTTAGTATTGGCATTAGCTTCTGACTCTATATTTCATAATAACTGATATCACTATCATATAGACAATTAGAATTCTAAGTGCCATGTATGCCTATACCAACTAGCCTACCATTTGGTTTGTATTTATGGTTTGTAAATATGCTTTGTGTGGGGAAAAGGCATACCCAGGGCAAAACTCACACAATACACTATGCAGATGGGTTTAAACCTAGGGCCATAGTGCTACAATGTGGCAATGCCAACCAATGAATGACATTGCTGTCTTTTAACTAGAAAATGAATAATGTGGGCACTTGATCTGAACACAGTTGACGAGGGGTTTTGAGAAGGCTTAGAATAAGGCTTAGAATATTTTTTTAGAGGATTTGAAGTGTTTGGGTATTGAGCTATCATTACATGAAGTTACTATTCTATAAGTTATAAATGTATCAGGTTTATCATCAACAGGTAGTCTATGGAATAATGGCAGATCATAAATGTATATAATGCATTGGTTATTGAAGGTTATTCAACATATTTTATAGCCACTTCAATATGTCATAGAAAGTCAAATGAGGGGAAACTTCACTACATGAACTTTGCCTCATGATTAGTTTACTCAGGAGCAGTCACTGAATATTATAAAACTCAGTCTTAAGTACTGCAGATGTTTACCTGGTAATATTATATGATGGACAATCACACTGTGACTTTTTGTCCTCTGTTCCGTTATCTTGCCTTTAGAGAACGTATTCACATTACCAACTACATTGTAAGTGTGTCATAAACCTATACAATTTATGATGTCTAGCATTTGTGTCCATGAACATCATAAATATCTTGAAACTGTCTTGAGTTACAATAGTATCAATAGTTGAAAATGGGAATATGTAATCATAAATTATTTTTAGATTGTGAAATTTAGTTGAAGAGGGCCCTTGCCTTTAATGGCATTATAAATGTACGTAATCTTGGACTTTAAGTGTACCTGGCAAAGGAGATATTTGTGGAGCATTGAGAACTAATGACTCACAAACGTGCTCAGGAACATAACTCAGGGCAGGGACATGTTATATATCCTCTACACACACAGACTATAAAGAAATCACTGGATCAAGTACTTTTTAATTTATACCTACTAAATTATTGATTTTGTGCAATAACCCATAGCATCTGATCAACTTTATATACTGGCATCAGTTTAGTGTACCCAGTTCTGCCTGTCAGGTCTCCAGGAGCCGATGGCATCAACGGGACTCTTCATAACTTTTATTCAAAATCATCAATATAACGATTGTTCATAACCCAGAGATTGCTAGTAAACTGGAGATCAATATGTATACCATGAAACTAGCTTCCAGTAATTTTTCAGACACAGCAAAAGTACCGGTGATGTGCACAGTTCACAAATCAGATTTCAGTTGACTATAGATAAATGAATAAAGGGTGTTCTCTGGCTGGATGATGTGGGCTGCTGCATTTTGTACTTTATCATTGCATTTTGTATTATAAGCCTGATTATGAACTCTGCTCAAATGTTTTTCCTTCTAAATATATTCTTAATACTGATCATTCTACTTACTACTACATACTTACCCTGCCTACATGCTGCTGCAGTAATGTTAAATAGAATGCCACGCAACATTTTTTTTCTTGATTTAGGTAGAGTGGGTAAGGTAGAAAACTTCATTTTCATGTGTCTCTGTTCAGTAGATTCACTCTCATCTTCTCTTCTGGTTACAAAAAGTGAAGGAAATCTAATATGTTACAGATGTCACTGGAACATGAATAGAGGAGATATTACCCACTGAGGACATATGTCCAATGACAACTGTCAAAGCAGGTAGTTCCTTTCACTCTGAGGGGGTTTCCACTCTTGTGTTTCCCAAAAGGAAATGGGGAAATCTTTCCATTGTATACAACATTTAAGTGATCACTGGCACTCCAAACTCTCTTACGTCAATTATTTTATTGGCATAATACAAGTTGTTTCACAATATATGGCATTGTTTCGGAACCCTACTCGATTCCTTCCTCAAGCAAACAGTTTACAAGGATCACTTATTTTGCCTGAGGAAGGAATTGAGCATGGTTCCAAAACATTGCCATACATTGTGAAACAACTTGTATTATGTCAATAAAGAAGAATTGACGTAAGAGAGTTTGGAGTGCCAGTGGTCACTTGATGTTCTATGGATTGATTGGTGGTGCCATCTGCTTTCACTGCAGCACCACACACAATTGCGATGGGACATGGTCTCATCTTTCCAATGTAGATACAGACAGGGCCATCCCTTAAATGAGGCAGCTAGAGCTGGTTGACTCAGACAGCATCTCATTGGGTCACGTGGGGGGCTGGGTGCCAGGGGTGCCTGCTGCCGCTTTCGGCTAAGAACATACCAGGTTCCAAAGAGAGCCAGAGGTAA